ATGAAATTAAATTTCTAGGTGTCATAGTTGATGACAAATTCTCCTGGAAATCTCATATCAGATATGTTCAGCACAAAATAGCAAAAGGGTTAGATATATTTTGGACGGGAAAGCACTATGCATTTTGTATTCTTCATTGATTTTACCATACTTAGAGTATGGCGTTGAAAACTGGGGAAATACATATAAAAGCTCACTTCAACCATTGTATATATTACAAAAAAAGAGCGATAAGAACTATGGGGTATAGGGATCACACCAATGTAGCTTTCATACAGTCTAAATTGTTAAACTTTTTTGATTTAGTTGGATATAAGACTGCAGTGTTTATGTATAAAGCCAGGAGCAATTTATTACCTGGTGGAATTCAAAAACTATTTAATGAAAGGGAAGGGGGATACAATTTAAGGGGTCAGTTAAATTTAAAAATTCATGCTATACGTACAACCAAAAAAAGATTTTGTATTTCCATAAGTGGGGTAAAACTATGGAATAATTTAAGTGTGGACATAAAAAATAGTAATAGAATTGACGAGTTTAAACATAAATATAAAGGTTTGTGTCAATCAAGATATATGCAAGAACAGGCTTAATGATTAATTAGATGGAACATTGTGGGTGTGGTGTATGAATGTTAACACTTTGTAATAATTCTTTAGTATATTACTTGTGTGGTGTAGAAGATAATTATTTAAGAATGTAATTATGTAAGAATGTTTACACTCTGTTATAATTCTTTAGTATATTACTTGTGTGGTGTAGAAGAGAATTATTTATGTAGAGATACTGCTTGCAAACCAGTGATGGTAAGATGATGTCATGGGGTAGGACTGGATAAGTCTGACTTCTTCCTACTCCATTCAAGCATGTACTGGGTATAAGCAAATTGATATTGGATTAGCATTTGTTAGATATGTGTAAAATTATGTGTGTTGATATATCAACTGTCTTTACATGCTTGAAAGAATAAATAAATCAAATCAAATCAAAAACACATTTCACATAAATTGACAAATGGGAACAGATAGCCTCTCTCACAAAGGTGCCCCTGCTGAGCACCTAATAAACCAGCTTCAACCAAACAGTGGGTTAGTACTGTTCTATAAATACCCCTGCGGAAAAAAAGCTTAATGAGTCTGCTGGAGGACTTAGCTTAATTGCATGTTAAGCATCTGTCTGTATGGACTATTAGGACCACCTCAAAACCCTAAGTACATTCAAATATGCACTGTTATCATTTATTAGTGACAGAGAAGTCCGATCATGGTCACAGATTTGCCATACTAACTGCTTCTCGACATTTACACGTTCAAATCTCACAGAGCTACAGTTGGCCAATTTTCAGAGGTAAAATAAATACAACTCCACTGACACAGGTGTGTGGGTTGAATATTCAATCTCAACACTCAGCACCAAATTAATAAGGAAACACAGTGGTGTATGTGAGAGGCGGACAACCTGTAGACTTCTGGCAAGGTGCAAAAATGGCAGCACGAATGCCAAACAAACTGACACTAGAGCTTGGGTGGTACGAACCACCAACTATCTGTTATAAGATGTAGTCTGAGTCATGACCACCACTATAGGACTGGCATCTCTGCACCGTTTCTAAATGTCTTGCATTACTGCTTGGATGTGATGTCATACTCATGTGACAATTACTTTTTTTCAAAAATAAGTAAATAACTAAATAAATGAATAAATAAAAAAGTCAGAATATTAAGTTGAGCCCCCCATGAGCTTGGAAACCACAGTTTAACCTTACACTTCTTTATGTTACAAATGCCTATACTGCATTTCTAGAACCCTTCTAGAGATGCATGGTAGTGCACGTAACTGTCTGCAGTTGCACTGTTCCTGCAGCCTGAGAGGACAATGATAAGTAGGTCAGAAGAAAAAACAGTGAGGGTTGCGACTGTATATGTAGTCTGGGCAAAAACCATCAGTGAGTCTCCGGAAAAGAACCTCAATAATGTCTACATTTGACTGGCATGAATACATCTGAGAAACAGGACAGATATTAGAAAAATCCATTCTAATTAATTCTGCAAAATAACTCCTGGATCCCTATAACTCCCTCTCTCTTTCCTAGTAAATCAATATTAATAACCAAACTAATTTCACTAAGATGTTTAGAGGCTTAAGAGAAAGAAAGAAGCGACTGACTGCAAAAAAAAAAAAAACAGGCTTTTGATTGGTTTGGGCTACACAATCTTTATGAAATTGGGAATTTAATTTGGATTTTCAACTTATTTTTAGCTTGATCAAATGCTCTGCACACAATAAGAATGCAAAGTGCAAAATGAGAAGCATAGCCTATGCAACACTGGTTGGCAACTAGATTATACAAGGGTGTCTTTAGTCTTACCTGATAGAGGTAGAAGTGTCCAGCAGTCTCACAGGTATAACAAACATCTCCAGGGACATCCAGGCTCCCCTGTAACCTCTCCACCTCTCTGAGGAGCTCCAGCCTTCTGGCTAAGACATAGTTTACCCTGCCATATCTGTAAACAGACAACAGAGTTGGTACAATGTAAAACATTTACCTTTTGTATAAAGGATTAAGAGACAGTTATAATGTCCAACAACTGATATCACATGCTGAATCATAGCTTACAAATGATGCAATGATGTAAGAGCATTTATGTTTAAAATTCAACTGGCTGTTTCTAGAAATAAATGCAATATTGGCAAATTTCTCTTCTTATACAAATGTAAACACACAAACAAACCATTGTTGGATCTGTTAAATTCTCTGATGCAAATTAAAGATACAGATCAGTCTCATCAATTCAAAGAAACAACTCTGTTAATGTTGTTATTCTCTCAAGTGTTACTAAATGTCCGATTCACTGGATGATCCTACTGACTTGTCTCTTCTTGTTCTCCAGTATTAACATCACTGCACAAAATCTGTGTCACAACCATGTTCATAAACCTACATTCTGTTGTATCGACCAAACTGTTGTGTATAACAAACAGGTAAGATAAAGCTTCCTCTAACTGTGGATTCAGCCTCTGATCTGATCTGCATTGTTGTTGCTTCAGATTATTTATTGTCCATGAACTGATTAAAAGAGCAGAGATAATCTAGATCTGATGGCTGCAATTTTTTGATTGAGATTGCCTTTATTGTGTTTCTGCCCTTAGAGTGTGCACATGCTCTCATAAGGCTGGTGACCTGAGGACACACAATATTTTATAGAGTAAGATATTGTATGTAAGGTACGTAGAAATTATGACCATTTCAATGCAGAGATTTAAAGAGGACAATGGCTGTCCCTGACTGTATAGCCTACAAGGTTTGTTTAGGCTCCATCACGCATTCTACTGTGCAGCTAAACAACACTGCTTAAAGGCAATTAGCAGGTGGCAACAAGATAAGCAGCACACACAGACAGGAGGCGGGAAGGGTCACTGGGTAATAGCAGAGGTCAACTATTTTTAGCCACTGTGTAAAGATCCTCAGCCAGGAGATGACTCAAAGACAACCACACTGCTCTGCTTGTTTGACCTGAATTAAATTAAGCAAAAATGGGAAGTGACCTTGCTTTGCAGATGACAGACCTGTAATGCCTTAAGCTACTCTCTGAGAAAGAAACCCAAAATAGATGCACAGGTGTGAACAGTGCCTTTATTGAGAAGGTACGTTGTTTTCTGTTGTTTTTTTAATCCAATAAAGGTATAAAACTCAAAGGCTGTGCTCAAAACTCAAATAATATAAAAATATATAATAAAGAGGGACTATGACATTTTATTTGCAAAGATTATTTTTACCTAGAACCTCGGACATGGGTTCAATATCCCTGAACAATGGATACTGGACCTTTAGTCGTGGACAGTGACTAAAGGTGCTTTCTGTACTGCCACCAACATTCACCCATAAAATCTCATTACAACACAAAATTTATCTTGAGAAGCAGGAAGGCATTTTTAATTGACAGTGTTGTAGTTTTCCCTTTGTTGGGCTTTTGGAGGAGCACTGCCTCTCATTTTTCATCTTGTATAAAGTGTTAATTAAAACTCTCTGCCTCTTTCCTCTCACTGGTGTTGATGGGGTGGAAGGAGTGTGGAGTCTGCATGTTATGAGGCAGCCAGGCAGGCGGGGATGTATTAAATGCTACTAGTTAAAGCATTTTCTTCTATGTCTGTGTTGCTGCATAATTTAAGACTGTAACAAACTGCATCCATGTGCAGAACCCACTTCTCATACTGCCATCCATGCAACAGTCATACACTCACACTGAGCGGTAATCATACACAACGTATAGTAAATGAGTGACATATATAAATCCTTCTCATCTCCTCTGGAAGTGCTGCTAAAAGCTAAAAGGTGCGATTTGCTCAGTACCACAGATGGATAGGGTTGTAATTAACAGGGCTATAAGGAAACTTTTAATAATAACAAAATAAATAATTTACATTCAGTAACACAGCCATTTATACTTGAAGGCAGGCTAAGGAGCTAATAAAAAGGAGACTGTTCTGGTGAATTCATTATTCAATGTGCGCAATGTGTGTTAAATAAAGCTGAAATAATTTCTCTTTCTCAAGTCTGTCATAAGTGCTTAAAGTGCACAGCCCCCCACTATCTCTTGTTCCATCTCACTACATCTCAGTAGAAAGGACTGAGTGACGATCCTTCAAGGCATTATACACACACACACACACACACACACACACACACAAGAGAGTAGAGCTTACAAAAAGACGTGGGTGAGAGAACTGGGAACTACAAGGGCTTCTTTAACAGGACTCTAGTGGTTTTTGTCTGAGGCTATTTGTTCTGCGCTGTGCCACAAGTGCCATTCAAGAAATAGCAGTTCTGTGTGTTTGTGGTGTTCAGTAGGGTACAGACAGAAGATCGTTAAGCAACTGGTTGAGTTAATTAAATTGTAGTCAGGTAATGTAACCTACCACAGATTACAGAGGGGCTCCTTCCTGACCCGAGGTAAATAAACATTCTGATTGTCTTAAAAATCTGAAATGAAATCTATTTATTCATGTAATTATTAATTCAGATATTTATTCAATTCATTTCATCATATCATCATTGTAAATCTATTATTAATTAAAAGGTTTTATGTATTCCTGAGGTTGGAAAACTGCATTATCTACTTCCAGTTCAACCTATAACCTAAATTGTTTAGGGAAATTTACCATTATCTATGATTGTTAAACCTGAAACCTGTCATGTTTTTCATGACTGGTGAATCTGCATCTCTCTCTCTGCATGGATTTTTGCCATAAACCTCTTCTTGGAACGCATTCTCAAGTGGCTAGTCCAAACGGGTATGGAATTGGTTCCTGAATAGCAATGAGAGGGGTTAATCAGACAGGCACTGCCAGTGAGTGCAGGGCTGTAGGGAGGGATCCCTTACACTGGTTGAAAGGCCTGGGAGGCCAATGATGCATAATGAAGATAAACCAAGTTCCTGACCTGGCATATGGGAGTATCAAGTGGCCCTTTCACTGTGTTAGCTCAGGACAATTTATGTATTGGAGCAGCTGGGCTGTTTGTGTGTTGTCGGCTGTGATCAAACTGTGATGGCTGCCTCTGCAGTGCATATGTACTGTATGTAACAACCATGTGTTAAATGCACTTTCACACTGGCATGTGTGAATTCAAGTAGGCTCTATTTACGCATTTGCATTTTTTGTGGTTTAGGTGCATCTGTGTGTGTGTGTGTGTGCGTGCGTGCGTGCGTGTGCGTGTGCATGTCCTTTCTCCACCTGTCTTTTGCTGTCCTCACCTGCTGAAGTCTTTCTCAGTCTCCAACTCCTCCTCTCCATGGCCCAGACGCAGGAGGTGGCGCTCGTCGATGTCTAAAGCCATGATCTTTTCAAACAGCTGGTTCAGAGCCTGGTGTGGAATAAACCATGGTAACAAACATGATCAGACAAAGAAAATCCTTTCTTAGATACGTGTGTGCATTTTGCCATCTACAACAGTACTTGTACATATACACCTGTTATGAGTTTCTTTTTTTAAGCCCAGTTAATTCAGTCTAAGTTACTGCTAGAAAAAAGTTTTTGTCATCATTATATCAGCTATGCTTCTTGTGGATAAGGTTCCTTCTGGCAAACTTCCACTAGTATAAAACAACAGCAGATTACTTTATGATTAAATGCTGAGTGTGGAAGACCTGGTTACAAGGGAGCTTATATTTTAATTTTTCCTCCAAGGTTTGAATTGCCTGATTAATGGGCACATCTGAGCACAAGCTGTAAATTCTCCAGATTTTTTTTTTTTTTTTTTTTTTTTGAGCCGAGTGTTAGGGAAATGTTTTAGAGATCAGATCTGGTTTATGTGTAGAGGTGCATGGTGTGTACATGTTGGGTTAACCTGATTTGAGTGTGTCACTATGAGGGTCCTCTGCTCAGGAAAGTTGTGATAAAGGTTTGAGATGATTTGGACGGCAACATCTGTCTTTCCAGTACCTGGTGGACCTACCACCTGGAGACAGCAGGAAGTGCAGAATGAGTAAAATGAAAAAATGTTTTTTTCTTAACAAAAAGAAACAACAGAGAAGATGAACACAATCAGAAGTTTGCTGCACTGCCCCTGTAAACAGTCTAGTGGTTGTGACAACTGGGCCATGAACATGTCAGCAGGGACTAGGTTACAACCCAATCAGCAGCCATGCTCACACAGACCCAATATAATGTGGTGTTGCCTGGCATGCCAAGGCTGTCCCAGATAGGTGAGGACACAGAAAGCTACTGCAAAGCTATAAAGCCTTTCAAGCCTCCCTTTTGTATTCATTATCTGGATACTAAAAGCACTTCATCACTGTATACAAGTTAGCATGATAATAAATCTCATATTTACTTAACTGGGGGGAAAAGCACATCTTATTTACTAAATAAATATTCATGAAACAGGCTGGTATTAATCTAGGTCTCTCAGGTGAGTAAAAATAGCAAGCACAATTAGATATTCTTGCATAAATCGGTGTCTAATCAACTACTTAGATTATATAGATGAAACCAGGTAGTGTGTGCTTGTAATGGTTGCTAACAACTTTGACATCCTCCAAGAAAGAAGGTTACAGGGGATGAGGAAGGGGAGGAGGGAAAGCATGCACAGTTGTTTATGACTCAGCTGAGAGCCTACTTGCCATATTTACCTCGGCTAGATGCACAATAAATCACTCCAACCCGTCCGCCAGTTCCAATCATCACATAAGAACAACAACTTTGTCTAAACAGTGTATGTTGCACAACTCTATAAACAACAAGGGTTTATCTTTAGCTGTAACCCTATGTCATTCTATGTGTGGCTGACCATTTCAATGACAATGCTAAGATTTACAGTTTTGGTTTCAGGTGGAGATAAAGCAATAAAGCAACAGCATATTTACTGTTGTGGGAGTTATACTGGAGCACACCACTAAGATTAATGGCTAAATACTGGTGGCTTTACAATGGGCTGGAACAGTATGCACCTGTAGTATCAGATCCCACTGGACTGTCAAGAGGCTTTACCCAGCATCCCTCTCAACTAAAGATATGCATGATAACGTTACAGTGTTCGATTTAAAACACAGTTTGTCTTCCTAATTAAGTCCACTATGTTCTGGGATTTATTCTGCTAGAGTCCGATATCCACAATATCCAATTGCTGGAAACGTGTTTTGTCAAATACATAATCTAAACCTTGCAGATTTTCTTAGGACAGCTTCAATTTAATCTTATGTGGGCATCTAGTACAGTGAAACACCATCTACCAGTCCTTACCATAGTGAGTCCTGGCTGCATCCCAGCTCGAATGGCTTCAATCTGAGTAGGAGTGAACTGAATTGTATTCCTGTAAGAAATGTATATAGCTGATATTCAGAAATCAAGTAATTAGTCTGCAATAGGTATACCGCCCCTCAGGTTCTGATAATGGAAACGCAGCAATGGTGAACAAGCCAGCAGAGATACCATGGAGGCAAACAGTAAAATACATCAAAACAGTTAGGCCACGAGTAGGGTACCTATAGTAAATATTTGACTTGCACCTGTGCTGTTTTATACTGAGAATGTGATTTAGATAGAGGTTATAAACATATGGTATGTTGCAATATAATATGCTCTTGGGACCAGACCTCAAGAATGAGCGTTATTTTATTTTACACTGTGGGTGGCGTTCTAGTCAATGTTAAACCATCTTTAAAAAGATCAGCATGCTCATTTCAGAAAGAAGTCGTGTTCAACGAAGCAGCGAACAACATTTTGATCACTAATCTCAGTAAGTTGTGAACAGGAACACAGAGGCGTTGGCCTTGGCCTCTCACCTTTTGGGCTGGTTGTACGGATATGGCCCACGGTTGGGGGTAACATAGGGCTCAACAACCAAGGTCATGCCCTCCTCTTTGTCTTCCACTTCTTCATCAGCCTTTCTCTTCTTTCCCTTGTTTGTTTTGTTTGAGATGGGAAACTTGATTCTGAGAAAGCAAAAGGCAGAAGCAAAGCCGGATTATTATGGTCATACCATGAACTGTATGTATATATATATATTGTGGCATCAATTGCATCCAGTATGAAGTTTATACAGCAGCAATTAAATGAAATACTAATGTTTATTTAAGGTAAGTCAGCTACAACCTTTCTTAAAATCTTTTGATCATCTGAATACTGGATCTTTGACTATCACCTGAAAGGGGGCACTTGCAGTTCAGAGTCCTCCTCAGTGACCTTTATGGTATAACCAGGGAAGCATGAACGTAAGTGGTCCAGGGACAGAAAGGTATCATTGAAGTCCAACGTGGAGATCTGATTGGGCATTTTGGAATAGTGGGCACTGCCGGGATCACCATAGCCTAAGATAATGTCATGAAGCCAGTCTGGGACAACACACACTGTGTTCATCAGGTTTCTGATGGTCTCTAGCACTGCCTGAAGCAGAGAGAGAGAGAGAGAGAGAAAAATCAAACCAACAGATTGCAATGTTAAAAAAACAAAAAGAATTTGAATGTGAAACATTTAACTGAATGAGGCATGTCAGACAACAGAGACCCAATCACAAAGGGTGGTTTAGCAGGATAAGAATAGCTTTGTGGTGGGCTGATGGGACAGCAGGTAATTTGTATATCTGTCAATTATGTTTTAATGAGCCACAAACTAATACCTTGTGCATCAAACACTGTGTGAGAAAGCATGTTTACTTTTATCCGTTATACATCAAAGACGGGGGAAAAGTTTCTTGAATGCCTATTAGTTCTTTTGGATTCCCCCAAACAAAAAACTTCAGAAACATCTGTCATTGCTCTAAGTGTGAAAGACAGAAATAGGTTTGCAGAGTTCAAAATAGCAGATTTGACAAAGCCATAATGAGAAGCTCTCAAATAGAATTATATAATAAAAACTATGGTTAACCTTGTATAATACAAAGTAACAAAAGACAGATGGGAAGTTTCACACAGTTGCATGGATAACTTCTATGACCTGCTGAAAAAGTTCAGGTCTGCCTTTCTTAACCCTGAGGATGACACCTTTATGTTATACTGATAATAAAATATGCATTCCTACAGTACAGCCACAAGGAAAATGTGAAAGAGAGGTACGGTACACATGAGAGCCCTGAGTGGTAATCTCAGAGTTGCCCTGCCCACAGTCTTACAGCTACAATACCCAACAAAGTATTATATGTGCAATACATCACTAAGAAGTGGTGTTGGCAGGACAGAGCTCAAGGTCTGAACATATAGGACTCAAATACAATTTAGAGTAACGGCTGATTTGTAGGCTTCAGAAGGAAGTCCAGACCTTGAAATTATTCTCTTTGGGTTTGCGTCTCATGATGACGTTGAAAGTCTCATATGGGTCTTCACTGCCACTCTGAATATTGCTGGTCATGTCCTGTTGATACTGGTTTGGGTCCAGCCAAACGCGGAATGTTCTGGCATCTCCTCGTAGCTTAGGCCTCGGTTCAGGTCCTTGACCAGAACGGTGGGGAGAATAGTTGTTAGACCAAGGAGGGAAGTGGATAATGTACCGTTAAATGTGCCAAAACACATTTAATTGTAAATTCAGTGCTAAATATAGAAGAAAGAAATCTAAATTTGCATGCCATTTTCAAAATACTGTTACAAAGTGTTACAGTATCAAAAGAAATAGGTCAACATACAGTAGGTCCTGGCAGAAAACAGTAGGGCACAGATTTACAAGGCCAAAGGGTCAATATTAAATACTGAATCTAAATCAGCTAACCATGGTTTCAATAAGAATTTCCACTCTATGTTTACATTAAAAAAAAAAACAACTCTTTCTAGAAGAGCTCAGTATGGCTTCTCTGTGGAGGATCAGTGAGTGGAGATGATCAGGTATTGGTAGGTAGATGGGTGTCATGTATCAATTGTGTTTATGCTGATTATGTTTTGTGTATGCAAGCGGGAGCGCATACCTTCCTCAATGACGCGTCCTTTGTCATCCAGCATACCCTGCACCTCACAGCCTCTCACGTACACCAGCCCAGTTTGCTCCACAAAGGGCTGGCGTCGGTCGAAGCGTGTGCCGTAGGGCAGGTTGGGGCACACCGTGATCAGAAAGCAAACGTCGTGCTTCCGCAGCCCTACAGCAAAAAAAGAACGGAGAGAGCAGTTATAGAAAGAAAGAAGGGAGAGACAGAGGAAGTTAAAGAGTAAAATGGCCACAAAGAAAAAGAGGTGATGGGGAGTGTTGGGGAGACAGAGTAGCAGTGTGGGAGAGTTTGGAGAGGTAATCGAAACCACCCTGTCAGCAAAAACCTGAAGCTCTAATTATACGTTGGGCAAGTGTCTAGTGGATGCAAGTAAGTAATACATCATCCTTTCACCGAGTTACAAGAAAGAAAGTAAAACCATAAAAGTGGGTTTAAAAAAAGTGAAGACATCAATTTGGGATACATTAGGCTTACGTTCGTTTTTTTTTTTTTTTTTAAACCAATGATTACTTCTACAGCCCACTGGAAAAAAAAACCCATTCATCTGCTATATTAGTTAGTCCAATACACCATAGGGGTGTGAACCTATCCTATACTGTTCTCTGGAGAGTGATAGCAGATGGCCTGCTGAAGGCTTCATTATGCTTTATATGTTCCAAGTGAATTAATGTCTTTCAAGCCTGTTGACATTACCTACAGTAGCCCTATCAAGCACACAGAGTAACAGAGAGAAGACGGTTAAGAAAGGGGCTCTATGATAGTAGCTGCACAGAGTTCACACGTCCTCACAGACACGACATAGGCAGGGATCATGAGTCACGAAACATACATTATAGACAATTATATAAGTGATGAAAATAGATACAAAAAATATTTACAGTAAAGATCTACTGCAATTGGTCAGCCAACTTTACCTTCCCACTCGTGCTTGATATGGTCTTGTACATTTAGGTTAATAGTAACATCGGCTCGGACACGAGCAGGCCAGCTCTCTCCAATCTTGGGCTTGGCAACTTCTACTATGGAAAAAGTGGTGATCGGCTGAGCCATTCTAGCCCAGCCTCCAAACACAACTCCACCGTACTCTGACTGCCTGTGTAGAGGGACAGACACAACAATAAGTTAGACAAGTGCTGTGGGATGTTGTCAAGACTGAAAATCAGTTGAATTTAGGGCAGCACATGGCACCGCTACTTCTTTATTTACTTTTGTAGGAACTTGCTACATCACTTGGCATAATAGGAGCAATTATTATGTTAAGCAATGGGTTTTCAAATGCTGTGTACTAAATGGCACAGTCTTTTAATGTAAATTCATCAATGCATATGCCACTATGGGAGAGGTAAACAGACCATAAGAATCTTCATTCGTTGAACTACAATGACAAATTGTGGTGTAGCGGGGTTAATGGTAGAAATTTGTCTTGATACTGTCAACTCAAAAAGGACTTTTTATCCCATGTTTAGACATCTCACCAAGGTTTCATACGCCACACCACGTCCTCTATGTCCTGTCTGATCTCATAGGTGGACTCTAGACGAAAGAGGTTAAAGTTCCTCAACAGGTAGTCGTGGAGGGTCAGAAACTGGAGATTTAGCTTAGGCAGTGCCAGGCAGCCTAAGAAGAAATACAAATAAAAAGCCACAGAGTGGATTACAAACTAAATATGCAATTATCTCACACGCACACACAAAAAGTTCATCAAAAGGTCATAATTATTTTTCTATACAATTACAAAACTGGTTGAATGGCTACCTTTGTAGCTACCTTTGTTATATTAGGTGTATAAATCTTTGCTTCTCTACACATTACTGCATGTCTGCGTGACAGTGCACATGAGGGATGCTGCCTGGATGGTCCTTGGCTTTTGAGTTACTGAAGGTGGCCTTGCCAGTTGAAGAGGACTCCCTAATAGAAAGGTGCCAGTTCAGTGTATTTATTATAAGGGAAAACACAAGCTATGGGTGTATGCTTGTGAGTATGTATGAGGCACTGACCAGACAATGAAATAAGCACATGCACTCTAGTGCACATTAACTCACACACAGACATGCAAACATGATCACAATTCACGAGCAACACACACCTTCCCCTGAGTAGTACTCTGTCGGGACGATGTTCTCATCCCAGATTATTTTCTCTGTTGGATAAAGGGGCATCTGGTTAAGTTGCTCAATCTGAGAGATTCTGCGCTCATGACGGGACACCTATGTGTGGCAAATGGAAAGAGAGAGAGAGAGATGACAAAGACAAAAAGAAACTGGCTTATGAACAAATGCTCCCCTGCCTCTTTGGTTGAGGTTCTGTGAACTTTCTTTTATTAGAAGACAGACCATAGAATAAAGAAAAAACATTTCCACCAGTCTGTTACACCATATCACATAACACAGGATCTGGTGTAAAAACAGAACAGCCTCTCAAAAAAAGGCTCTTTCACCCTAAGTATATGTATGACTGTATTCATAAATGATTGCTTTGCTACTGTATGGCAGAGTTTACCCTTATGGCCCCGTCCTTTTAAATCCACCTGGGCAGAGATGTTGGTTGTTGGGGGGGCGACCTCAGGTGCACACTAATAACTCCCATGACATTGTCTCATACAACAATCTAATCAGATAATTATGAAACAGCTCTTTGCCATCGCTTCTCAGAGAAAGACCTGGGGAGGACCTGAGTGAGTAGTCGCAGAACAGCCTTGCACGACCCACTTTGATGAAGAAATCTACAGCACGTGTCAGCGTATACTAGGAAGACTAGCAGGACAAGAGTCTAATAGATTCCTGGAGGAGTTTTAAAAATGAAAATTGGGACTGTAGGGGAAGGAGAAGCAGAATGCACAATCAAACTAGTGCCAACCTTTTATAAGACACAGGGAAAAAAAACCCAGAAGAAAAAAGGTTGTTTATCTCATCAGCGGTCTTCAATTGACCCTAAGTCACACAGCAGACCACATAAAGCAGTAATTGGATTAGAAAGTAAATTCATAAGGAATGGGCAGTGAAGAGGGGATAGTATATGCATTCCAAGGTCAAGAGCTTAAATTAATGACTAAAATGAGAAACACAAAACCCATTATACCGTCAAGCTGACTGGCCAATTATTAGTCTGTAAAATAACTGTTCACCCACACTGTAGAGGTGCACCACTACCAATTATACATCTTTTATACTGCAAGTTGACAAGCACAGAGTACCTGAGGTATTACTTCATTCCCACATACAACTAAACCACCTCCTTCTAATGAATTTAAAGACCTAGGGTAATACATATTACCTGGAATAAATATTTTAATAGCTGACTTATAGAAAAAAACAACAGGACTGTGTTTAGAAGAAAACTTTTTTAAAATACTTTTAGTTCCTAAATTTTAACTGACTTGTCTGATAGATAAGATAGTTCAGGTCACAGTTGCAGCATAAGCAGCATGTGTCAGTGGTACTAGCCTGGATATTCATCATCATTACTGTATAATACATGATTCGTTATTATCCATTACATTCCACTGTGATCAGATTTGCATGGTATAGAAAACACTTGTGAAGTTATTCACTTTATTACACTCACCAGAAGCTCAAGGAGAACTTGTTTCTCATAGGTGGTGTCTTGCCCTTCAGGCAGCTCTGGCAGGAGACACAAGTATGAGGCCACCCGGTGAAGTGCACTGGGACTACAGAAAAAAAAAAATTGAAACATGGTTTGTCAGCTAGAAAATCTGTATTTACAAATTACACATGTAGCTGCCACTCCTTTCCTGAACAGGGATGACAACAAAGCAGGTAATAACTAACTGCTGTCCAAAGAGACAGATTTGGTAATGACTGAAATGTGGAGGTTGAGATTACAACAGGGGGAGGCTGATGTCTCCTCATATAACATGATGAAGATGTCAACAAAGATAAACTTAGTGCATTATAGAATGTAATATGTAGTTTTTTTTTTACACTACATGCACATCTAATAAAGATTACTAAACACTACTGTATGTCTGAAGATACACAGCCTTAAATTTTTTGTGCTTGTTAGTGCCGCAGCGCAAAGCAGTCCTGTTTAATCTGACACAGCACTCCTCCTCTGTCAGCATGTGTGTGTTAAGGGGCTGGAGCTCACCGACGTGACAGGATTATAAAAATCAAAGCCATCTCCGTCTCAAAAAGTTGAGGTGTGGCTCTCTGCATACAAACCTGTTAATCATGCTGACACACTATGACACAGGCAGAGTCTGGTACACAGTGAAAGACAGGGCCTAGACACATTGTGACAGGTCTGGACAGCCACATGTGGCACTGACTGACCACATCCATGTATGTGCAAGCATTCTGCTACTTGTGATGCCAAGCTTGGGTAGTCGAGGTGGCAATTCTGCCAACATTGCTGTTTAGTGGATGACTTGGCATAGGTCATGGGGACATTCCTTCCCTTAGCAACAAAATAACATCAGCACAACAGCTCACTCTGAGTAATGGAGATGACCGGACCAGGATTATGATTGACAGCTGAGCCAGGATAAGGTAAAGACAGGGACACAGAAATTGGTCTTCATTTTTAGTTAAGCTATTAACTATCAACTTTATTAAGCTAATTTAGTGTCCATGTTCATCACTTTATTAAAGAGAAAATTACTGAGCAACTGGTAAGTTAAGGGCATTTTCATTCAGCTAGCTAGATGTGTAACATCACAACCACAAAAAGCCTCAAACAAGCAAACAAAAACTGTGACAAATGGCTTTGATGGCAGCCTAACTTTGCTCAAAATTAAGGTGTTTATGATTTTACCATACTAAGGACTAAGTACACTAATTATTTTACACCAGTTCTTTTGACATTTCCAGTAATGCAGACACACTTCAGTGTTTGCATTTCACAAAGTGATGCGAACTCTTTAATTAGATGATCAATTCTTTTTTTGGCCTTAAATGACAAACAGTAGATAGAAGAAGTGTCTGTATGTGAGAGAGTAGGTGTGTATACGTGTGGAAAGGCTATGTACAATAATGCTGCGCTTGTGTGTTTGGGGGACTTAGCAGATAAATTCAGAACGGCGGCTGACTGGAAGCTTAGAGCAGCAGCTGGAATAAACTGGCATTAGCGTGGGTTGTTGGATGAAAAGTGCCTCGTTTAATCTGATTGGCATAACTGGAGTTACCCAGGAGCTACTTTGGTGACAGTTGGGGAGCAGAGAACAATGGCACATTCAAAACCCTAATTCTGGGAATAGGAGCTAGAGCTTCTAGCAATACATGAAACGGTTCCACTAAGTCTTTACCCGATTTAGCTCTGCTCGGCTCATAACCCTCTGCATGACTCAAAGGAACTTAGTATGGGGTTGAAGCGTTTATAATCCACATACAAGTTAAAAAGAGGTGATAGATACAGAAGTGAAAGAGGAAATTTGTGGTGTCCCTGCTCTGAGCAATTATGACAAATAAAGTCATCACACACTGTACAAACAAACAAGTAATCAGTCATTCTGGAGTGTGTTGTAAATTCAAAATATGAAAAATATGATGGCTTGAAAACTCTCTAAAAGCTTGGGTCAATAATTAAAATTTTTATATCAAATACCACGAAAGGGTAGAAAACCCCGAGCGTAATTACCGACTTCCAATAAATCAATGTCTTTTCACCCCCCTTCACACACATGTACTAGTGAAAACATACACACAAGCTAGTTCTTCAAAGCGAGAGTGCTTTTTGGCAAGCTAATATGATCCGACAAACACAGCTGTTCAAAGTTTTTTCTCAAGCCACTGCAAATCGATGAAATTAATGAGGCGTGCCTCTGTCTCTGGCTGGTATCAGCTGCCTCTTTAAGGCCTCACTAGCTGCCATTTAGCAGGGAAGTCAGGCAGTATCAGTGGTGCTGATGCTATAATGCAGCAGGGGACCAAGACAGGTATAACTCTGCATGTTTGCCCATATTTTAACTGGGGTTTGTTTGTTTTGGTGGTCATAAGAACTTTAATACATCACAGGTCAGGTCTGTATAACACCTTATGTTTTGGTTTGCTGAAGAGTTTCTTTCTGTGAAACTATTTTTGCCAAGGTCAGTACTTTTAGAACTATGGCATTTTCTCTTAATACCATACAGAACCCCAAGGGTCCCACATAAAGTCAGTGCAGTAATTACTTGTACATGAGTAAGAATGGTACACAACCAAAGGGGGGCCACCTCAAAGTAAATATGCAGTGCCTTTACACATTTGCCAGAAGTCCTCTTAGCTAAAATAGCACATTTGCTACAGCAATTTACTATTAACAGACCACCATTATCTTACTCAGTCCAATCATGTGCAACCTTCCACCCACCCCCATCTGTGGACTGACAAAATGCAAGTGCACCTCAGTTCAAGATTCATTTCAGATGCTTTGATTTACCTGAGATGTCCAAAGTGTTTCGTCAAGGATTCTCTAGTGTCTACCGCTGCTACGTTAGACAGAGCAAAGTCATGCAACTCTGGAAAATGAGCAAAGGCTGCCCTCTGCAAGATGAGACACAAAGAGCAGAAACATCAGACAAATGTCCAAATAACAGCATCACAATAAAAATCAACATTGGTTATAATACTACCATGACCCAAGCCAGAGGTATCACTGTGAGGCTAGAGCCATTAGTATATACAGAAAAGAACGAGCATACAGTAAAGCAAAAAAAATGCTGTGAAAATACTGTACTTGAGTTTATATTTGATACTGAGGGCCAATTGTGAACCCATATTATCACATCACAATTATAAAAATCTGAACCAAAGATGTCAGTGAAGGGCAACCTGGGCACATTATGAAAACCAACAGCATGAGCAAAGTAAGAATCATATAGAAGGTAGCTATAATACACCGACTGTCTATCTGTACATCTTTACCTGCAGGGAGGTAATTCTGTCATAGTGCAGGGTAGTCATCTCTTTCTCCGTCAGGGCGACTCCTGTCTGGTCATTGATCTCAAAACCTGTGTAGAACTTTAGCATGTCCAATAACTACAAAGAGACAATAGCACGAGTTACTTCTACACATTAAAACAGGAACAAGGGTGATTCTGATTTCAATGTGCAATCATTTAAAGTGCACATGTAAATATTTTCTTGTGTTTGCAAGCTGGTTGTACCTGGCAGAAGAGGTGTCCCTCCTTCTCTCTCTGGGTGAGGCTGGACAGGTGGCAGCTGACCACCAAGTGAGAATCATCCAGCACTGTATTAAACCAACGCCTGGTGGGCAGCAGGGCCTAAACACACAGGACACAATCATACTAAATGCTTATAACTGTGGCTAAAACAACTTGATATTAAAGTTATCACAGCTGTACAAAATGCTATTTTACTGGACAGGACCAAGACAAGTCACAGGGCAAAGAAAACAGGCTGATGGATGAAAGTCTAATGTCTGATGAAAAAACAAATGAAGTACTGTATGAACTGCCAGATCTCATGAGTCAAAACAATCAACTGACTCAGCAATGACCATCACTACATTATGATCCATGTTCTTTTCTTGTGTTGTGGTTGTTTCGAATGACATGATAGAGAGGAAAGCAAATAAGGCAAACTGACAGTGAGATGTGAAGACAACAGTTACTTCTGTAGCCGTCATTATTTGCTTGCTGTTGCACAGGAATATGATTTGAAGGGGAAAACAGAGAAAACCTGCCAAGTGAAGTAACAGAGCAGCTTTGGTAGGAATATAACAAACACTGAACTGACAGACTTGGTGAGAGGATGACTGGCACACACGGAACAATACATCTATCACATCGTAAAGGCTGAAAGAGAAGAACTGTCCAGAAAATAAACAGCACTGAGAAACAGAATATGAAGTGGAAAACAAAATATCTATTATTCCATTCACTGAAAACTGCTATACAAATGCAGCAGGTGCAGGCAGTGATACTTAAACACAGAGAACAGATAATCTTACATCCAACAGCCATCTTTGATCTCACTTCAGTCTTGACAGGAAGAATACACCACGCATGAAAACTAGGATCTTTTTCCCTGCATTAATTTTCAAGTTGAGAGGAGAAGTATGGATTTCAGGTAACTGAGGCTTTGTAAAAGAAAAAGTGCTGAAGGACAGGAGATGTCTCTGGAGAAAGTGAGCTGGCTCGCCAATAGCTCTTGCCAGGAACAGAAAGGCCAGGCTGTCAGTAGACAGCCAGATGCGATCTATTGAGATCTCTCACTGGTAACGGGAGCTGCACAGGCAGCAGGAGCAACTATCTTATATGACAGTCTTCACTCCAGACAGCCTACCACATTAGCAAGGATGCCTCCCCCTCAAACACTATGTGAAATTCTATTTTCCTTAATTATTTCTTAAATTAACCAATAGTTCAATAGGTTCCTCATCTTTCATTACCACAAAAATGTGAGGCTTTAAAGTGTAAGTGATGTGACTGATGTAAAAACCTTTGCAGCAGTAACTAGTTTGTATTCAGTTGACAAGGTAGTAAATGACCATATCTTCTAAGCCACACCCCTGTCAGACTGACACAGTGACACAGGTTAAACCAGACATTTGTGGATGATCTATACTTGCAAAAGGACAATGTTTACATATTTAAGTAAAGCTGCTCAATACGCTGCAGATCAGCACCAGTCCAAGTACAGCAAGGCAGAACAACAAAACAAATAAGAAGTGAGAACTGTCGAATAGCACAATCTCAATTTTCCATTCAGACTGATAATTATTGTTTCAATGGAATAAATAAACAGAATGCACAGATATGGTACATATATAACTACAAATTTAAAAAACTCACCAAAAACAGATGAAGAAAAAGAACAAAAATCTTGTTATATAAAAGGCAGCTCGGCTCGACTTCACAGCATTTCACAAATTTTACTAAAGCAAATTTCAAATATACATGATGCAACAGCAGGTAAATGAGGAATATAAAGTAAGATGGTTGATAGGAATTTTAAATGTGCATGTTGTTAATTCAAAAACAGATAATATGACAGTATAAATCTAATATAATCAACTGTTCGTTAAAAAACAAGTGTTATTCCAGAAACGAACAGGGTCTTAGATTCTGACCATTATGCCAAGCACATGCTGAGCATAACTCTATACCTTATAGCACATGTCAAAAGCCATTAGGCTGAAAATAACCTCTCCCACACTGAGACTGTTTCATATACTGCATGGCTCTGCAGGTAGGAATGACAAAGACACACTGGGTGGAGCTAAGACTGGACATCTATCCACTGTCTGTTGACCTGAGTTAGCTATAAACGTGAAGGACAAAAGGCAAAGGAGCATTGCAGAAATGGAAGCCTGGGCTGTTATGTTCATCAGAATAACATGATTAAGCAAACAGATTGTAGACCTACAGTGGAAATGTGTGTCTGACTAGTCCATGTTAAAACTGAGCACATCATCTTTCATTGTAAATGTCAAAGCAAATCTAGGGAGAGAGCGCTCAAATGGCAAACTATCGTAACACTTCCTGAACAGGACTTAGAACAGGAGGCTGTGTCTTACCTCCAAATCAATCATGAGTTCAATGAATCGCTCACAGTAATGCACCCTGTCCATGGATGCAGGCCCTATGGAAAAGGGAGGAAATCATAGAGCTTAGCGATTCACGTCATGGAATGCATGTTGTCAATGACAAATACAATTTGGCAGACAAGCAAAGACAACTATCAAACTACAAGGCCAAAAAAGGCAACTGTAAGGCGAAGAAGCAAAAATGAGGTTGTGTAATTATCAGGAAGGATATGAGGACAGCAAACACAGGTGGGCAACACAAAGGTGCCATGCTGAGTGTGTGAGATACTGCACAGACAGCACAGCACAGCAGCACGCTGGAACCTTAGCCCTCAATAAGCACACTGATGTGTGTGTGTGTGCGTACTTAAAGTTGGGGCTGCAATGATGTGGACCCTGCTGGGCTTTAGATTGTAATCTACTCTGTCAGATTTGAATTCTACCTAAACACACAAATACACAGGTTCTGTTTTTAGCATTCAGGTAGGGGGCCTCTGTGTCTGCCTGCATTACAACATCATACTCAGCGCCAGTGGCTGTATGGCAGCTGGAGCACAGGCTCCTTCGGCAGTTGCACGACTCAGAAAGAAGGAAGTCGTGTGACTGAAATAGCTATGAAAACTGGAAATAGTGTGTTTCATACTGGCAATATGGCCCTAAACTGAAGAAATATGGACTCACGGTGTGCAAGCTCTACAAAGGATTAAGTACATTATGCATGATGTGAAAATTAACAGCAGCACCCACGACGACTTGTTTTGACACAGACATGACAGGGGTCTTTTTAAAACTCGAATCAGTAGCTCTTTTTACACTGCCCTGCCTCTCTGCATAAGAGGTACAGTACCGGCATGGGCGGAGGCCAATAACGAACCCCAACAATGCCGCAATAAGAGGTAGTGTTTTTACCAAGATGAGTTTGCTCCACCTCCTGCATAAACAGGATAAAGCGGAATGGGGTGGTGGAGATCCGTGTGAGGGAGAGAAGGGGAGAGAGTAGCAGTGATGGAGAGAGTTAGAAGTGAATGAAGAGGAGGAGGAGCAGCGCCAGTGAGAATAAAGCAAGTCCGATGACATGATAAGCATAATGCTTCTAGTACTGGGTCAAAAGACCAGCAGTTTGCTGCAATCTCTGCATAAAAAGTATTTGGAGGTAGAAATCAACACCACCAGGGATGCACCCTTTCATATTTAAGACAAGTCCAAGATTTAAAGGTCTGTTCTAGCTTAAGGAATTCTATTCTGAGTAGTCGTACACAACACTATGAATTTTCTTTATGTTTACCTGAGGGCGGAATTGACATGAGGACTCCAATAAACTTTTTAATGAGAGCTGAGAGGAAGGTCCTCTCTTTTTTTGCCCTGAGGATAACACAAAAAAGGAAAATTAAAGAGCTTAGAGCCTTGTGGGGTACAAAACATAATTTCAATCTGTACAGATCTGAACACGCCAGCAAAAAACAATATTACTGTTCAGCTGCGTTAGCATCCATCTTATCAAATTTCTTCTTGATTAGATTCCAGAACTTTTGCAGCTTTGGAACGTTCTTCAGCTCTTGTTGGAGCCTGGACTGCAAATATAAAAAAAAAAATAAAAAAAAATCAGTAGAGTCCATTGGATTAGTGTCACAGCAAGGAGGCAATTTTTTCCTATTAAATTATTAAACAACCTCATTACATGGTGTGTGATGATAACCATTAGAAAAACTTAATTAGGGTAATAGGTTGACATCTTACTGGTAGGAGACACATCCACATAGGCAGAGAGATGAGCTGCTGCACTTGTTCTCTGATCAAATCTACCTCCTGAGTTGGAGGCGCAGAGAGAAAGAGAGAGGGGGCATTGTCAAAATAAAGTATGACAGATTTTTATTACACTTCAGCCCATAATAAAAGTCTGCAACTAAAATATTTAGAGGCCTTCATAGAATACAATCACAGTGCAGCAAGCTATCACAGCATATTTTAAAGTGAGACATCAGCAAAGCTTCCTAGTGGTTTTAATGCAGCATCTAGAGGATACAGATGTGTGGATCCTGACTCAAATTGTACTGCCTAGGCTGCTACTGCCACCTTGTGGACATTACAAATAACTTCCTTACAATATGGCATTTTGGCATTGCTTACAGTAATAAATTCAAAGTTGTCCATAACGTGTTTAAGCACAAGCTTGATTATTTAAAATGTCATACAAATGCCTTGAAGTCATATTTAGAGTAAAAAGTTAAATAAGTACTTTTGCAAAGACACTGATTTTTTACATGTATGAATGCAATACAGAAATGTTTACCTAAATCTATTTAATCCAGTTTTATTTAAGAAATCATGTTTCTTTAAACCTTGTAAATATTGCAATCAAAATATAAGCCAATGAACCCAAGTGATCTAGGTATTAGAATAAACACAAACATGCTTATTTATTCTACTTGCCATAGAATAACACCTCCAAACTTTCCCAAATATATTCATTCCTCCTGTGGGAATTTGAGACAATGGAAATTAGTGCAGTGGTACACACCAGACTGTTGAAGCAGTGGTCTAGGAAGACCAGCAGTATAGTTTGCTCCTTCAGAGTGAGGCCAGACTCCTCACTTGCCAACACAGCATCCATCACACATTTAAAGAAGAATGGAAAATGACTGGGCTCCTTCTTGAATACCTGATATACACCATGCAATAGAAAAGATAGTGTTGTAGAAAGTCATTCATTTGAATGGTAGTGGTAGATTGCCGTGTTGAACTCAGAAGTTAGGATGACCATACAGTCACAATGAGATGAAACCTAAATACGGTATGGCACTGCTTTTTACCTCCCATGCTGGGACATTCTCTCTGAACTTCTCATTGACAATGCAACAAATGGACATGACGTAGGCACTGCTGGACACCTCAGGAGTGTAGTTCACCCACAAGTAGTTTTCAAGGTACTGGCTGAAAGATGAAAAAAAAAAAGAGCATCAATGAGCATCGACCCAGCAAGTGGTGTTGCCATTTATTTATTTAGGTGACTGTTTATTAAACAGAGGGAATGAGAGAATGTGAAATATCCCACCTGAATTCAAGCAGCATAATTTTTCTGATGGCAAATCTGAAAACATACAGGAAAGAAGACAACAGAAGTAGACTAATAAGTGTAAAAAGTGTTCATTAGATAATAAATGTAGTTCAAGTCAAAGATGCTGTACACACACATACTTGGACATGAGAATCTCTTTTTCATAAATATCTTCCATCACCTAAATAGACAACAAAGAATGTTAAAATTCTTAGGGTTTAAGACAAACAGAGAACCTCCATCTTAATGCTAAACACATACTATGTATTATCTTTAGGAAGAGTTCTTTAACTGGTAAAAGCAGCACTCTACACCTCAATACCATTTTACTGTATGAAACAACATGGTTAAAATACATTTTGGTTAGACTCAAACCACAACTATTAACTGTGCTTACCACTTGTAAAAGGAGTTTAACTACTAAACTTTATACCTCTAAGATGAAACAATGCATATAAATGGTCTTATATTTGTAGTGCTTTTCTATGCTTTCACACTACTTGGCCATTCACCCATATAACTCACCTTAGGGTCAAAGGGCAGTTTATTCTTTGCATGGGGAGCCCAATATTGATTTGCCAACTGAAACCAGGAGAAAAATATGTAGTAGTAAATATATGCAGTATTAACATAAAAAGGTATGAATGATTCATGGGGCCTGGACTTAGACACCATGCTGCATAAGTAGAAAACCTAACATTTCAACAAGACATGCTTGTGGGCTTCTTTGGTTTACTGTATCCTTTTCTGATCTAGTACCAAATAGGAAACTATCTAATGAAGGGAAAGTTCTCCAACTCTGACTGACTCTCTTTTGACAAAACATTGTGATGCACAGCACAAACCCTCAAGCCCTCCCTCACAGACACACCCCTCCTCCCACTAGAAACGTACTTTTTATAAATATTAGGATAAGAAGGCATGTAGTAATCTTAATCTATATACGTATAGGTTCACAACAGGCTTATTAGATTGATTAGAGGTCAATATGCAAACCCGACGCCAGGTGAAGAGAAAACTGTTCTGCATCATTACCTGTGTGACATATTCTGCATTAATCTGCGACACAGAGGGCGCTGCCGCCTTTTTAGCGGGGGTTTCTTTCTCCATAGTGGTCGTCTCAAGCAGCTACAATGGCGACTGGGAAAAAGAGCAGAAATAATATATCTTTAGAAAGACGTTACTGCTAATTAACATGGCTCTTTGTGGACGGCATTAATAATATGGGGAAGTAATATAGGTATAGCAAGCATAGCAATGCTACTGAGAAAGTTAGCTAGATAGCTTATGTGTTAACGTGAAAAGTGACGAAGTGTATGCAGTTCTAAAGAATGTGATAATAATTACCTAATGTTTGCCCAGTCTTCTCATTAACGTCATGTAGGTGCTATACGCCCCCCCCCCAAATATTTATTTATATAGCGGTATGTAGTATTAACATAGGATATTAGCCGTTTCACAATTTCAGGTGATGAGCTAAGACACAATGGACTCAAAACAGTGTTCGGTGACCGCGTTGTTAGTCCCATGGCGTGCGCAAGACACGATAAAGCAAGCTTACCAACCTTTAATTTTATTCCAGCCGTAGTAGCGTGCAGTTGGACTTTTTTATCAGGCATGTACACAATCAAAACGTGTTATGTGCGCCAAACTTCCTGAACGTCTTCCTGGTACGTCCCTAAAACCGTCCCCAGGCTAGACGGCATAATTTCTGTTCCGTTCTAGTTTCAGATATGTCAAAAAATGACACATTCACAACTGCACAAAGCACACACTTTATTATTAAAAACATTATAATATACAGTCTGAATAAATATAACAAGACGCACTGCAAAATACCAAACAAAACCATTTTATAAATGCACTTGTTGCATCCACCTTGTAATCTGTACAGTTGGAAAGGTTTTCAGTGCATTTCAATGATCTCCTTACTAGATCTAGGGCAAAGTAGATGGCATAAAAATTCAAAGGAAGGACGAACACTAAGACAACATGCAAGTACACTATGATAATGTCCATATAATTTCACAAAGTTAGGCAGAGCAAGCATTTCTTCATTGCTAGTATCGTGTGTGTGTGTATGTGTGTCACCTCTCTCCTCTGGCCCCCCAGCAGCAGAACCTGGGCATGGTTCCCTTCTCTTTCCACCCCTGCCCTCACATCTTCAGTCGGATGCAGTTGGTAATGATGTTTCCTTTCTTGGGCAGTCTCGAGCCCAATGTCCCAATCGGCCAGACATAACACACGCCTCTCGGAATGAAGCCTTTTCCGCTGCACCTCCTCTAGCCCCTCTGCCACGTCCACGTCTGTGTTCTCGGTGGCCTTGCCCTCCTTGCTGTCCCTGGACTGCCTGATGTATGGTCATGGTTGCCATATGCTGTTCTTTCTGGTTTCTCTCCTCCTCCTCTTTCTTCTTCTTCTCCTATGTTTGCTGCTCATGTGCATGAGTGGCATGCCTGCAGAGCTCTGAGAGACGAGCATCAGCATAACACACACAGGAGGCTTTCACTGCACTGGCAATGACATGTGTCAGTCCATTCAGAAAACTGTTGCAGAGATACATCTCCCACACTCCTGCAGTGTTGCCCAAGTCCTCTGGCTGTTGGAGGCTATGTATGTTGAACACTTCTGTGAGGCGGTGGAGGTACTCATCTGGAGTTTCGTGGGCCGTCTGCTTACATGAGGTGATTTTGCCCATCTCCACCTTGGTGGGGGAAGAGGTGGTAAATTCCCCAGCTAAAGCCTGCACTGTATCCGTGTAGACTACATTGCTGTATTGACTCCAGTCTACATGTTGACAGTGACATTCTTGAGCAGAAAACTTGCCTGCAAATTTCTGCCAGTCAGAGCGTTTAATCCGGGGAGTCAAAAGTCTCTTTAGTTCAGTTGTGGTTGGTCTGAACGTGTGGCAGAATATGACAAGCTGTTCAGCAAACCTTTGTCCTGAAGCTGTAGGGTCTGGGGGGTGTTTGAAAGCTGCTGTTATGTCTTCTGTAGTCCAGAAGCGGAAGACAAGCATTGGAACTTGCAAGCCTGCCACCTTATCCAGTGGCATGCTGAGAACCGGGCCAGGCCTCTGCAGATGAGTTCTACTGGATATTGGTGAGGAGCTAACTTCAGTAAACAAATTCTACTTGAAAGACACAGTTTACCTGTTCACAAGGCTCCAAAACAAAGGTGCCTTCTGAATATAACATCCCCTGGGCTGAGTTATGGGGTGTGTTGAAGAAAGGCATTGATGTTATACCATCTTATAAACAAGTCGGTATATAATATTTCTTATTAGTTTCTTAAACAATTAGTCAATAAACAATAGAATTTTAGGACAATAAATACTATTTGCAGCTCTGCTGCAAAACACATGGATTTAACATTATCAAGCATAGTAGCTGCATTCTATGTAGGTGTTATAGGTTATCAATAAAAGTGAAAAAGCCTAAAACAGCTAAATGGTTTATATTCAGAAACCTGAAGATGAATTAGTATTTTGGTATTTTACCTCTGATTTGGAGCATCCAAGCAATTTCAGTGATCTAGTAAAGGAAAAGTAAATGTAAAATAATTCTGCTTCTAATCAACTTCAACAGCACATCACCCAAAGAGCCTCTGCACACTTTCTAATGCTGCTTGTCTTAAATTATAAATCATTCCACCTAGGATACTGTAGACATTTTACACAAATGAAACTAAACCTGAGCCTTTTAAATTCACTCTATATGTTGACCACAAGAGGGAAGCAGATACCATCCAATAGCCAGTTCAGCAGCTAGAGCATGTTTCATTCAGAGCTGTGACCATAAAGACTGGCTTTCACAATACATCAGGGGAGGAAACAATGCATTATGAAACAAGATGATTCAAACATGAAAACAAATAAACCACAACCACTGGCCAAACAGACCACAATGTAGGGAGGCTCTCACTTGTGAGCTGGGTTCCCCTGCTATGGGGAAATAGAGTCACACACATCAGTCTGGTTAGCCTGGAGGAAGACACACACACACACACACAGTTAAAGTCCATGTGCAAGGCTACAATGACAAGAGCCACAGGCTGGTACACTGCACACAAAGGACAATGTTAGACACAACAGCCAGTTTGTTTGCAGAATGGTTGCAGGTCAGCTCGGTAGAAAATGTGCAGTTGACAAAACACATGAGGAAACTAAATGTCACCCTGTCTTTACTCATTTTGTGAGGAAACACAGTAGTAAGCACATAAAAAAGTGTAAGTGGTAAGCACACAAAGAAATGTTTGCCATAGGCCATCACACTGGCTACGATGATGTACTTGTGGCTTTTTGCCTGTGCCTGTAGAAATCATGCCCCATGAAAGACAGAACGTGATATTTACAGTGTGATCGACAATTGTTGTGCACTGAATTTTAGAGGGTGTTTTCCTCTCTATGGAAAGGCTGAGTCTTGTATTTTAATGTTTTATTCCATATGATTTTTTTTGTTGTAATTTTAACTATTATTCCACTATTTTAAAAAGCATCAATTCAAAACAGAATAAAGAAATGCTCTGCAAGTTTGGAATTTTAATAGTAAAGTTTAATCCAGTGCTTACATGTAATTGAAATGCATTTTCTTAATTTTATGTGTTGTGTTGCTTCATTTCCATTGCTCAATTTGAATAAATCAATTTCTCATTGTTTCCCCATAGTTTTTTGTTTGTAGTGTCTTAAAGTTTTTCTCTCTCCTCTATCCACTCACCTCAACCAGTCGGAGCAGAAGGCCGCCCGCCAGGAGCCGGGGTCTCTCAGAGGTTTATTCTGTTAACGGGAGTTTTTCCTCTGTCACTAAGTGCTTGTTCAAGGGGATTTGTTGTTTTTTCTCTATAATCCTGTAAGGTCTAAACCTTTCTATGTAAAGTGAGATGACTTTTGTTGTGATTTGGTACTATATAAATACAACTGAACTGAAAATTGATTTTTTCAGGAGAAGGTAAGGAACATGCATTTTTGATCAGCAGTCGTATTTGGCAAAACACTGCTTTGCATTCAGACTGTTCAGATATTTATAACCAAGAAAATTGACAAAGAAAGCAATTTTAATATGACTGCCTTCATTGGCTATGCATGTCATTGTGAAATCACTGGCTGATTTCCAGCTACATTTGTTGCCAATGCTGAAATATAATCAAACATTTGTGGATGATATTTATGGTTTTTTGACTGAGGTCTAGAAGTATATGGTAAAAGTAGAATCACCTCCTGGTGGGGGCCTTTAAAACCAACAGGTGAACATTAACACACTATATTTACGATGCACTGGCTTGCTTGCTCTCATAAATAATTGCTTGTATGTGTTTTTCAACCCTCCAAAAAATCTTCAGGCTCTATTGGCTGCCTCTATTGTTCAATTTTTGATAGCAATCAAAATAACATTGCGGTGGGTGAAGATCAATAGCCCACTTCACTCTACTGCTAACACAAGAAGAGAATAGCTGAGTGAAGATGCATGCTAACTCAGATCATCAATACTGTTCATGATCTTTGTGAAAAGAAATGTTCCAGGAGCAATGGTTCAGTGGTTAATAGTGTTATCACCCCCCCAACACACACACACACACCACACACTGCAGCTGTGTGTGGTAGTGTCCCTCTCCTATTAACCAGGCTACCTAAGAATCAATAAAAAACATAAAAAGGTTTAATCTTTTCAGGTGCTCAGTGCTGATTGCCTATTACACAATAATAACACACCTTGAATCTCATGGAGCAAGCGAGAGAGAGAAGCACAATCATCTCATCTGCACACATTACACACAGCCACAAACCAGTCACAGTAAAATCTTTACAGCTGAGCAGATGGTGTCAGCAGAGGCCTTTGTGAGGGGGGTTAGCTAGCACGCTAGGAGGAATTCCACCAGAAACAGTGGGATATCAGGGTAGACAGTTCACCTCATGGAATGAGATGCTTCTGGTGTCTCCGTTTGTAGACTATGGTCTCCAGTCTTCTGGTATGCAGCTTTATGTTATAGACGCTCCATAAGACTCCCCTCAGAGGCAGCGTAACAGCTGCTGCAGCTACAACTCTGCTGAAGGACTGAGTGGATTTTTGCCCTTTGTTCTGGGACAGTGGAATAAATACATTCACAAACATTGTGCAGTATTTATGTATTTATTTCATTCTCAAATTCACTGATGTCCAGTTGTAAGTCATGAAGCTATTGTTCATTCCTCCAGAAAAGCCCCACTGAATTCCAGTGCTGTGGATGACAGAAGTCTGGTTGTTGACCCCGGCTGTGTTTCTATAAGCTGAGCCAGCAGGACAGGTGGAGGATCTGGGCATCAGGCAAATCAAGGACTGGAACCAGGACCACGGCTGGACTGGACTCTTCTAGAGAGCTTCTCAAACTTTCTTCAAGTCCTGGCAGGTAGAGTAGGGAAGGAGACAAGGGGGTAAAGGCAAAAGCAGAGGGAGGCATTAATTACACAATAAACTGTAGCTGGAGTTGGATACTATACAGCTGACCCAGTAAGACTGTCCCAGGACAGAGGCTGCATTTAACCCTTTGACCGTGGAACACAGGCCTATTTACAAATTATTGGCATTCTTAAAACCTTGGCAGATTGCACCCCCCAGCCCCCAGTTCAATTCCCTGCGGTGCAGACATATGGTCAACATGGACTGAGCTGTAAGATTCGCTTCCCAGACTAACAAACACATACAAAAAAAAAAAAAAACACAACAAACAAACCAAAACCAAACCACCCAACTGG